AGCGCCGAGGAGTAAGGAGACGGGGTGGGTGACGGGCCATGCTGGATTGAGGAGCTGCTGAAGTGGCTTGCCAAGGTGCTGTTTTATTGTTCTCTGCTGCAGCTGCTCGTACTGTATATTGTTGTTCTACTCAGCTAATAGAACTGTTGTCAAATTTGAATTAAGTATGATGAAAACCGTGTAATATGCTTGCTTTTTTTTTTTTTTTAGTCCCATCTGCTATTCCTGGGAAGGAGGCAAGCTGCTGTCTGAGAATCCGGACTTTGACGAGATGGTTGTAACCAGGGAAGATTATGAAGAAAACGGACACTGTATATGCGAAGAAAAGTTTGATATTTAAAAAGGGGCCACCATCGGGTCTCCAGCCCAGGGCCTGGCCTGAGTATCCGGGAGCGGACTGGCCACCTGCTCACCATCACCTGCAGCTCTGGGTGCGCATACAAGCAGGCGTGGCACAGAGGAACTGCGTTCACACCAGATGAAATACCTACTCTCTCGCTGTGGTTTTAGTAACAAAGTCATCATGTATGTAAGAAGATGCAAACAGCTATGCAGTAGTACACTGTAAATCAGTTCTTATTCCTTGAGTTTAAAACCGTTTTTACACACTGTTTACAGTGTTATCAGCGGTGAAGCTGCAGTTGCTTGTGCTGCTTTTCCAAGTAAGGAGTGGGACTCATTAGTAACAGCTTTATTCTTACTGAACAGGGGGAAGGGTGTTCCCTGTTGGATTATTATGGTGGAATTCATTGAGAATCCTCTGCTGTTCCTTTGGAATCCTGGACATAAAGGTCAGCAATGGACTGTGGTTCCTTGCTGTAGTGTCTTTACAATGTGCTTCGACTTCAAGGTTAATAGTGAAATTCGGTCCCATTACTGCTATTAATTTATATTGCTGATGCTTTTGTCCAAAGATACAAGCTACACACTTGGGGATATTACTGGAGAAATGGGCATGAAGTGCCTTGTGCAAGGGCACATCTGCTGTGCCATCACCCAACATTGGATGTGAACCTGCAACCTTCCACTGACAAGTCCGGAGCCCTGTTATGTGGGCATCATGCTTGCCTGATGTACATAGCAATATGCAACGGTGAAATACTGAAACATTTAATATAGAATGCTTTTCTATGGCAAAAAAAATGTTGAAAGGTTTGCATGAATGTGTAAAACAATTTCGTTTTCAATTGTTAGTGGTCTGAACTCGGATCGTCTAACATTTTAGGACGGCTCTCGCAAATACTGAAAAAAAATAAATGCATTAACTTTATAACAGCACATGCAATATTGTGTAAAACGTGCAATACATTAATGAACTTTTTCTTTTAATGCTGATATCATGGATCGACTGTGCTGCACCGTCCAGTCGACCACATTCATTGCAACAATTATATTCAAACAGCTGGAAAAAAGGCTTTGCAACCAAGACAGTGGCGCGAACCATTCTGCGCTCATAATAGGGGGACATTTGGGATTGGAGTAAATTAGTCTCTGACGAATGTAACTTTAAATTACATTTTTTAAGAGAACCTATATTTCAAGCGTGTTCCTAGAGCCGTGAATCGCCAAGGCTTATCGGTTTTGTACAAGCAGTGCCGTCTTTAAGAACTCGATGGTACGGTCCGAGTTCAGAACTAGAACGCTGTTTGGTGCGGTCCGTGGTGACGCAACTTCCGGAGTCGCGATGGCGGTGGATTTGACTCCGAGGTTCCGACGCATAAACAGCCAGAGCGCCAGCATGCGGGAAACGGGCCGGACGGGTGAGAAAAAAACAGGTTATAAAAGGGATTCGCTGAAGAAGCGATTTCGTTTTCATCGGTTATGTTGAAGTGGAACGAGTGGGCGTACAGAACAAGTAACTTGTCGACTGCATTGGCCTCTTGCAAAGAATTCAGGCAGCCCCCCCGGCCACAGAAGTGTACTCACTCTCAAAATACTCCTCTGCATCTCTTAAAGATCACAATTAATTGCTTTTTGAATCGTCTTTTTGATTAAACGCCCATTCACCATGTGTTACCCTAACACACTCGAGCGATTCTGTCGCTAAAACTCGCCTCTCTATGAGACTTGGTTCCGCGCAGGCGATGAGGTTGGCATCTCACCCCTTTCAGCGTCAAGCCTGCTGAAAACCAATACAAAACAAACAGAAAGGGACCAGTATGCTCCGTTTACAAAGAGAACAGTTGTTATGTGGGATGCAGAATCCCCAGCAGTAAAGCCTAGCCTCATTATTAAGCGAGTGAAATGATATGCGAATTGTGTACCGACTGGCATGTTCACAACCAGCGGTTACTAACCCGACAAGGACAGGCAACTCCCCGAATACCCTCTGTTGATAACAGTAAGGAGATGGCTGTCTATAATGTCTTTGCACCTGCTACAGAAATAGTCGCTTGTGCCTGCTAGCTCTTTGAACGTGTTGTAGTTAAAAAATGATGTTTCTTCTGGTACAGTTAAAGCAAAATATTTAATTTGGTAAGAAGAAAGTGCCTGTGACTAAGGAAACTTCCAATCAAAATACATGTGCAAAAAAAAAATACTGAAAAGAGCAGTAGCTATAAAGCGAGTTAATACAATAATCCAACTTAATACCGTCACTAAATGCAGAGAGCCAGATCACTGCACAACCAGGAAAGGTCACAGGGTACAACACCTGCAAAAAGAGCAGCTGGCTCACTAACTCCAGCAGCTCAAGGACAAACTGTAGATAAGAGTCAATGTTTAGACACAGTTTGACAGCTGGAGGTCCCTGGACTTGATACAGCTACTCTGGAGGTCAGGCAGCAACTCCTGTCCAGACCATCATACAGGAATCTCCCCCATCAGCTGGTCTGCCATGTACAACAATGATCATCCTTCTTCACACTCGCAGATATCCTTCAGGGTGGTCAAGGCAAAACCTCAATCCGTCATAAAAAAGGACTGGGCTCTCCTGCAGGAGAGTCCACCTGAGGTCACAGTCCGGGCTCCCACATCCCTACAGCACAAAGGGGCTGTTCTCTTGGTAATCGGAGCACATCAAGTCCTTCCTTTGTTTTTCCCCCACCAGGTGTGACATCAAGCAGGTTATAACACCTGTGCTCAAAGCATCTCATTAATGAGATTTAGTGCCAAGCTGCAGTACATCACAGGCAGGAGTAATCAATTAATGGAGTACAAAAAAAAATCAGTATCTAAGTCTGTATACATTATTTTTCTATAAAAAAAAATACATGTCCACAGAGTGATATTTACATGCTCAGCATGCAGTACCTTTAGAAAGACTTACAAAGTAACATGTTGCGGCCTGGCTATAAATCAAGACATTAATTCAGGGTTTTATTTCACCTTTACTCTTTGGAACAACCTCCAGGTGAACAACAGGTGCTCGTTATGAAAATTCATTAAAAATGAAAATCTAGACTAATGGGTTGGGTAAGTGAACTCACCCTTACATTACTACATGATGGAAGCACACTTTTCTTGAATTATAGCTATAATTATGTTCAAAAAGGTCTGCATCAATGTAGCCCACCCAGAGTTGGTAGTGCTTACCCATTCCTCCACACAGACATAGTCAATCTCAGCCAACTTAAAGGCAGACCAGCAGAAGAGAGTTCTAGAGACAGCTGGTTTTATCCTGAAATCATCAGACTCGCTACAGTTGAACACAGGTGGAGACTTATTAGCTCGTTGTGTGATTTGAAAGGCAATTGGTTCCACCAGATCTAATTTACAGTTGCTGTTCCTGAGGGGTGTGGACACTTATCCAACCCATTTTCTAGGTTTTCATTTGTAATTCCTTTTCCCGAATGTTGGAGCACTTGTTTTTTTGCTTGGCGGGTGTGTGTGACGATGTGGAAATAAAGGTAAAATCAATCCTGATTGGATGTGTCTTGATTTCCTGCGGCCAGGCCACAAATGTGTTACTTTAGGAAGTGTGCGTGGACTCTCTTTAGGCACTGCGTATTACGAACCAGGTGGCTTTCGCCTGTCGTCCGCCTTTCAGATTGCTGGGTGTCTATGCCATCTTGATGTAGGTGATTACAGGAAAAGACAGCACCTCAAAAAGAGAGAAGAGGTTGTGGCAACCCCAGAAGTGATGAACCCTAGATCAGGTGGTCCTGAGACCTGGCCCTTGTGGGCCAGAGCCTGCTGGTTTCCTAGCTCACCTGCTGTGGCCCTGGGAGATGGGCCTGAGACCAGGGAAATGTTTTGTGAGATGAAACAATGGGGGACTATGGGTGGAGTGTCTCAAGGATGTCTGTTCAGAATGTGGGTCGAGCTCTGTAGGAAAGGCATCAGTAGGCAGGTGAAAATCCTAATTCAGCCGCGCACAGCTGGCTGCGTGCCGGGGCTAGGCTGCGTGGAGTTGGCCAGCGTGTCAGTGTATCCTGGGGCTGCAGGCATGTGTGAGTTAGTGACCGCGGCAGCACTCTTCTCCCCCGCCCCCTGTGCCAACCTCTCTCCAGGCAGCGTTCGAGCAGCCGGGAGTGAGTGACCCAATCGCTGTACAGTTGGCAAACCCGGACTGGAAGTGTATAAGCAGAAAAATAAGCCGTGAACTCGCATTTAAAAAAAAAAAAAGATGTACTGCGGACAGAGGGACTGAGCAACCGCTTGACTCTTCTCGAGCAGCGTCGGCGGGCCCGTTCCGTGCCACCCAGCTGTGGCGGGACATCATCCACGCCCTGCAGACCCAGGTGGAGGTGAGGAGGCGGCGGCAGCACCTGCGGATGCACAGCGGCTGCTTCGCCGGCTCGGACGCGGTGGACGTGGTGCTCAGCCACCTCATGCAGAGCGCCTGCTTCCGCTCCGGCGCCGTGTCCCGGCTCAAGGCCGCCCGCCTCTGCCAGGCCCTGATGGAGTCCCGGGTGTTCGAGCCCGTCGGCACCCGGCTGCTCCGCAGGGACAAGGAGCCGGCGTTCGAGGACACGAGCAGCAGCCTCTACCGCTTCCTGGACGGAGACGCCGGGACCCCGTCCGCCGACGAGCCCGGCGGCAAAAAGAAGACCATCCCCAGGTGAGCAATGGAAAAACGTCCTATTGAATATCTGGGAAATACCCGCCAAAACATCAGCCGGTCACGTATTTAGGGTGGATATTGTTTAAAGTGTTCTTATAAGAGAAATGAAAACATTTTAATGGCAAAAGTTAAAAAGGAGTTGTTGTTTTTTTTTTTTCCCAGTAGCAACCGGTAATGGTCTGACTCGGTGCGCTAAAAAGTGTTTCAGGCCGGTTGGGAGGGAGGACTCCTCTTCTGGGTGATCAAAAAACCGTCCTTCGGATGAGACGTAAAACCGAGGTCCTGACTCTCCGTGGTCGTTAAAAATCCCAGGGTGTTTCTCGAAAAGAGTAGGGGTGTACCCCGGCGTCCTGGTCAAATTTCCCATCGGCCTCCTAACAATCCCCCTCTATAAATTGGCTTCATTACTCTGCTCTCCTCCCCACTGAGAGCTGGTGTGTGGGGAGTGTACTGGTTCACTCTGGCTGCTGTCACATTATCCAGGTGGGGCTGCACACTGGTGGTGGAGGGGATCCCCATTACCTGTAAAGAGCTTTGAGTGGAGTGTCCAGAAAAGCGCTATATAAGTGTAAGCAATTATTATTATTATTAAATGCCTTGTCGAGGGCTCCTGTGGAGCAGCAGCAGAGGGCATTCCTGGAGCCGTGTCTGATGCCAGGTCACGGCAGACTCCAGTGGACGATAGGGAAATTGGCGAGTGAATTCGAAAAGAATTAATTCGTATTAATTGAATATCGATTTGAAACTTTAACACTGTCATCATTTTGCATACTTTGTGTGCTTTCTATGGCCGTGACATAGTGATGCAAGTTTATTTTTTGTTTGCTGTGGGTGGTTTTTTTTGACCCCCCCAATGGATTGAACTTTATTAGGGTGGCGCAATGGTCAGCACTGCTGCCGCACAGCGCAGGGGCTCCGGGTTCAGTTCCTGGGGGTGCTGTCTGTGTGGAGTTTGCATGTTCTCCCATGTTCCCATGGCTTTCCCCCCGGGTGCTCCGGTTTGCTTCCAAGCCCAAAGGCGTGCTGGCAGATGAATGATCTTCTTGGAAACCGGGGTGTCTGTGTGTGCCCTGTGATGGACTGGCGTCCCATCCAGGGTGCCTGCTGCCTCGCGCCCGCTGCTTGCTGGGCTAGGCTCTGGCTCCCCTGCGACGCTGAATCGAAGGCAGCGCTTGGAAACTGGATTGATGGATGGACTTCATCATAAGGGAGATATGGTGGTTGTAAGGGATTATGATTATTATTAGAATAAAACGCCGCCTGGAATGAGGAGAAGGATTCCACTGCAGAAGCTCTGTAACCACAGCGTTGCGAGGCTGGCGGGACACACTGCTGGCACTGTTGCATCGGAGCCGGCGGATGACAGGATGTCACCAACTCCCTCCACAGGCTAGAACAAGTCACCACCATTCCTAACCCGCTGGCCCTGGAGTCTTCCGACAGGAGAATAGAGAAACTTCTTCAGAGCATCAACCTGCGACCGACTCTGCCCTCGAACGCAAAGCCGGAGCAGCCAGCCGTGGTGCTGCCTAAAACAGGTGAGGTCAGGAGACTGAGGATGCTTTCGAGCGAGAGGAGGCCGTTCCGCCCACTGGGGCTGCTGGGTGTCCCCGGCAGTTCATTTATCCAGGAATCCCAGCCAGGTGCTTCTTGAGAGAAGCCAAGGTATCGGCTTCAACCGCATGGCCGGTCTACTTGTCCCACTCTCCCACCACCCTTTGCGTGAAGGTGTGCCAGCTCTCCTCACTGGAGGATCTCATCCAGTCAGGGGTGACGGCTTCAAAAACACAGTTGGCTAGTTTGTTCCAGACGGCCGCAGCCCCTTGTGTCAGGAGGAGGGATAACCTGCCTGTTCCACTGTTATGATAGTATATAATTGTATCATAGACATTATTGACTGAAATCAGTCAGTTTTAATTTTCAGTGCTTTTCTGTAGTTTGATGACGTGCCAAATGATATGCTTACAATGTTATTTCTAGAGATCTCCACATTTATTATTTTAGTACTATGAAAATGAGCAGCCCTCAACATATTGATTTATTAAGAATTATCAGTTACCAGCATTAGTAATAGCAGTCGAAGACATAGATTCTGAAAGGTACCATGTATGGTGTTATCTTAAACATTGTAAATTGCCTACACTGCTGTTGGTCTAATTAAAAGTTTTGCTGTGGTTTTGAAGTTTAAATGATTAAACCTGTTACCTCTCAAGGGCATTTCAGATATGCTGAAATGGCCTTAATACAACTGACATACAATTTGCAATCCCAGGCTAGAAGTTCATTCAAAATGCTAATTGATTGCAGGCACTGTATTTAGATATCTCCAAGCATATGCATGGATCATTGAACAGATGGTACCACTGCAATATTGAAATTAGGTGTGAAGAGATCTGTTTGTGTTTGATGGTTTATAATGAAGAATGACACTTTAAGACCTTAGCTGTTTGCAGATTAAATTACAATTTTGATGAGCCATTTATAAAACACATCTGTTACAGTCTGAATAATTGCATATATTCAGATTGTCATGCTATTGTGTGAATTTCTCTTTCTGATGCTGAAGACACAAGATACCGTATGTTAATGAAAGAACCCCCTTTTGCAACGTGTATATGCTTTATCCCCTGATTTTCGTGAACAGAAATAATATTTAAATCCACGTTAACGAAGAGCTTGTTTTGTCTTATTCGTTTAGAGTATATTTGCATCTCATTTACTCCAAGAAACAAATCAGATTGCCTGCTGCTGAATTTGATACCTTGGCGGCTGGATGAGAGTTTGAGATCGATGAACTGTTAGCTACCGGACAGAGCAGAGAGGCTGAATGGCCTCTTCTCGTCTCTAACTTTTCTTATGTTCTAGAGCAGCAGTTCCCAGTCTTGCTAGTGGAGGATCACCCACCCGGTGGTGGGTTTAATCTCAGCTGAGCTCACAGTTACGCAGCTGAACAATTTATTGATTTAGTAATAGGGTTACCTGGAACTGTTTGGCGGATTGAGCGACTTCGGCTCTTAAACTGAAGTCTTGGAACTGTTGATTTCCTGAGTCAAATCCCCAACTTTAGTGTAGAAAAAATAATGTGCGAGTATTCCAGTCGAGCAACCGGTTATTTCAGTGACGTCTGCTGTTAGGTAGTCAGGCTCAGCTGGAATGGAAACCATGTGTGATCCTCCAGAATTCTGATTGGGAGGCGCTGTGCTGTTCTAGAAAAGCAGATTTAACCAGTGGTCAGCTCTGGCTACCTCCCAGGCTCTCGCCCAGTGGTTCCCAGTCCTGGTCCTGGTGCCCCACACACCTGCTGGTTTTCACTCCCTCCCACCTTCATTAGAGAATTGAAGCCTCGATTGATCTAACGAGTCGCTTCACTGGAGTATTTGCATTTTGTTTCCAGTCTCAGGTTTGGGGTCTTATTTCGCTTACACAATGCCACGGTTGAAGCTCCACTCTGTTCAAGATCTGGGGGCAAAGAGCTCAGATTGCTCTCCTCAATTCACTGGCTTGACTGGAACAAAAACCAACCGGGGTGTGGGTCACCAGGACCAGAATTGGGAACCACTGCTTAAGCCTAATAATCTCCAGGTTCCCCATAATATACGTGCTCCTTCATTTGCTAAATATCTGTTGAGTGTGACTTTGGTTGGCTTGATCCATTTGTCCTTCCGCTGCTTTTTTCCTCTGCCCTCTCTCCTGGTTTTCGGCTCTGTCCTGCGTCTGATCTCTGCAGTCGTGGCGGAGGTGTGGAAGCAGCAGACCCTGCTGCACCTGCTCCAGATCGTCGACCTCCCCTTCCTGGACGGTGTTTTGGAGTCGCCGGCGAAAGCAGAGCAGCCGCGTGTGGCCCCGTCGCGTGGCTGCGCCGACCTCGTCATCTCCAACACCTGCGTGGAGAGGGAGGTCACCCAGAGCCTGGACCTGCGCCGGTCAGTCCGCAGAACATCTCCACACACCCCTGCGCAGTTCACAGGTTCTCACTGCTGATCCTGAGGTCTCTCTTAAATCTTGGACGCATGAAGCTTTCCCTCTGCTTAATCCCCATGGCTCGTGAGTTAGTCCTGGGGGGATCCACTGATGAGTTAAGATGGGTTAATTTGATGCACGTTTCTCTTCTCAACACGGAGTAACATCACTGAAATATGAGACGGCACCCTTATCTGTACTGCTTTCTGTCCAATAGCCAATAGCCCGTTTTCAATCCGGGTGCATGCATTTCCATGATTACCTACAGTACTGACTGTAATCTGAGAATTCCTCGGGTCAGTCAGTTTTCTCACCCTTGACAATGGGTGCTGCATTAGAAATCAGGTAATGGCATAGTTAGGGGGAGGTATAAAAAATGAAGGTTGTGCTGAAGGAGAATCTGTATAATAGAAGAAATAGCTTCTCGAGCTGTGAGCTAATAGCCTTTTATTACCAATTTAAAACGTCTTCCCTTTTGTCCCCAGGCTCGACATGTGGCTTATGGCTGCTATTGACTGCTTAGAGTACTTCCCTGACCAGATGATCGTGGCAGCTGGAGAGCACTTGTCCCAGCAATGTGCTGATGGGCACGAGAGGGAGCACATGCAGAAGAAGCTGCTTTTCGACACCATATCAAAATATTACGGTCAGGAAAGAGAGCCGCTTCTGACAAGCCACTACGTTGACATCCACACTGGCATCGTGGAGCTTTTAGGTAAAAGAGTCCTCTTCTCTCTTAATCGAGGCCTTACAAATCATGCCCGCTTTCTTTCGAGTTCTCTTGTGTTGTAATCATGTTTTCCATTGGATACAGTTTGGTTTTTATTCATGTTTGTAGCTTTGCTCCTTCAATAAGGCCCATAGATGTTTTGGGGTAGAGAGATATTGAGGATGGTGGACATTAAGGGAAACTTGTAATGATGAGCGAAGCAAAGATTTTAGAACAAATATCAGTGTGCCAGTGCTAAAGGAATAATGGAAAGTCATAAAGATCTGACGGAAGTCAGCTGCATAGTAGCAGATGCTTTTACTTGCCAGTTCTTCACCTTGCATTTGATTTTATAAACTGACTGCTTTTTATAAACATTTGCTTCAGAGAAATAATATCACATAACATTATTCTCTTTGAAATGATAGTGAACAATGTTACAATAAGGGGTGTTGACCCGTCCCACTCTTTAAGGGACACAGGACGAAAGGTGTTGACCCGTCCCACTCTTTAAGGGACACAGGACGAAAGGTGTTGACCTGTCCCACTCTTTAAGGGACACTGGACGAAGGGTGTTGACCTCT